ATTGTAGGGGATTGAATGTTAAAGTACGGGGAAAAAGAGAATTAAAATAACAGGAAAGTTTGACTTTGGAGTACCAAATGAAGCAGGGTTTTATCAAGATAGCTCCCTAGTCATTGCAAACACTCTTGTTCAAAAGCCCAAAAGGTGACTCTGTGGATGGGCATCTCCAGATATTCAGTGCCAAAATCAGGCTGATTATATACATTGAAGCCAAAAATGAAGAAGCCCCAGACAGTCAGTTAAAACAAGGCTTAGAGCTGACTGAGACTGAGATCATGAGCTTTTTATTGCAAAATTCAGACTTAAATTGAAGAAAAGTCAGAAAACCATCAGACCATAGAGGTATGAGTGAAATTGAATCCCTTATGATATGAAATGGAGGTGATGAATAGATTTAAGGGATTCATTCTTGTAGATAAGAGTCACAATACTTTACAGGAGGCAGCAACAGAAAACGTGGCAAAGAAAAAGAAGAGCAAGAAAGCTAAATGGTATCTGATAAGGCTTTGGAAACAGCTTAAGAAAGAAGGAAAGGAAAAGGAGAAAATATATATACTTAAGAGAATACAGAATTCCAGAGACTAGGAAGGAGAGATAAAATTTTCTTAAACTGTGCAAAAAAAAAAGAGAGAAGTCTCATAAAAAATAGAGATATCAAGGGAATATTTCATGCAAAAATGGGCATGATAAAAGACAAAAAAGACACGGACTTAACAGAAGTAGAAGAAATTAAGAAGAGGTGGCAAACAAATACAGAAGAACTGTATAAGAAGGATAGTAACATCACTGAGAACCACAATGTTGTGATTACTGATCTAGAGACATACATCCTGGAGAATGAAGTCAAGTGAAAGTATTGCTAACAATAAAGTTAGTGGCAGTGATGGAATTCCAGCTGAGCTATTTAAAATATTAAAGGATGATGTTGTTAAAGTGCTGCACTCAATATGCCAGCAAATTTAGAAAATATAACCATGGTCATTAGATTGGAGAAGATCAGTTTATGTCTCAATCCTAAAGAAGGGCAATGCCAAAGAATATTTAAATTACCTAACAACTGCACTCATCTCACATGATAGCAAAGTTATGCTTAAGATTCTGCAAGCCAGGCTTGCAGAACATGTAAACTGAGAATGACCAGAAGTGCAGGCTGGTTTTTGAAAACGTAGAGACCAGATTACCAACATTTGCTCAATTATGGAGAAAGTAAGGCAGTTCCAGGGAAAAAAAAATCTAATTCTGCTTTGTTGCATGCACTAAAGCCTTTGACTCTGTAGATCACAGTGAAATGTGGCAAGTCCTCAAAAAGATGGGAGCATCAGATCATCTTATTTGTCTCCTGAGGAACCTATACACAGGTCAAGAAGCAACAATTAGAACCGAAGGTGGAATAGCTGATTGGATTAAGATTGGGAAAGAAGTACAGCAAGGCGATATATTGTCACCTTATATATTTAACTTATAGGCAGAGAACAACATGTAAAATGCCATGCTGGATGAAGCAAAAGCTGGTATTAAGGTTGCGGAGAGAAATATCATCAATATCAGATATGTAGACAATACCACTCTGATGGCAGAAAGTGAAGATGAATTAAGAAGCCTATTGATGAAGGTGAAAAAGAAGAATGTAGAAGCTGGCTTGAAGCTTAATAACAAAAACAAAACCAAAAAAACCTACCCTAACATCTTGGCAACTTGTTCCATCACTTCCTGGCAAATAAAGGGAGAAGAAATGGAGGCAGTGTCAGATTTTACATTTTTGGGTTCAAAGATCACTGCAGACAGTGACTGTAGGCAGAAAAATAAAAGATCCTTGCTCCTTGGAAGGAAAGCTCTGGCAAATCTGGACAGCATACTGAAAAGCAGAGACATTGCCTTACTGACAAAGGTCCGTATAGTCCACACTATGGTTTTTCCAGTAGCAATATATGGCTATAAGAGGTGGACTATAAGGAAAGCTGAACATGGCAGAATGGATGCTTTTGAACTGTGGTGCTGGACAAACCTTTTGAGAGTCTGTTGGACATCAAGTAGATCAAATCAGTCAAAAGCTAAAGAAATCAATTCAGATTATTCACTGGAAAGTCAAATACCGAAGCCGAAGATTAAATACTTTGGCCATAAATTGGAAGGCAAGAGGCATTGGAAAAGACCCTGATGTTGGTAAAGATTGAAAGCAAAAGGAAAAAGGGGATGGCAGAAGATGAGGTGGATAGATAGTGCCATGGATACAATGAACATGAACTCGGACAGTCTTTGAAAGATAGTAGAGGATAGAAGGGTCTGGTGTGACACAGTCCATAGGGTTATGAAGAGTTGGACAAGACTGAACAACAACAACAATAACAACAACAAACCAGGTGCCACATTTTCTGCAGGACATGAAAATATTGGAGGACGTCGCAAGGAGAGAGAGTGGAATGGCAAAACATTATTTCACATGATGCTTAACTGAAACAATTGGGCTTGGCTAAACTGGAGAAGAGAATAAATAGGTATTGAAAAGGATAACTCTCAGGAAGGAGGTACAAAATCCAATAGAAGAAAACAATTTGTTAAAAATTAGAATATGGCAAATGGAAGCTAATGATTCTATGAGAGAGCAAGAATCAGTCAAACAGAAAGAAAAACATGAAAAACTAGATGAAAATGTAAAATACCTCCTTGGTAAAATAACTGATGTGGAAAAAGCAATCCAGGAGCCACAATTTAAAAATTATTGGACTACCTGAAAATCATGATGAAAAAGAGCCTGGACAGCATCTTTCAGGAAATCATTAAGGAAAACTGCCCTGAGATCCTAGAAAGCCGTAGAAAGAATCCACCAATCACCTCCTGAAAGAGATCCCAAATTGACAATGCCAAGGAATGTAGTAGTGAAATTCCAAAATTACCAGGTCAAAGTGAAAATGCTGCAAGCAGCCAGAAAAAAAAAATTAAATATCATGGAACCACAGTCAAGATTACACAGGACCTTGCAGCTTCTATGTTAAAAGGCTATAGGTCATAGAACATGATGTTCTGTAAGGCAAAGGATTTTGGATTACAACCAAGGATTACAACCTAGAGAAAATGAGCATGATGGATATTCAATGAAATAGGGGACTTCCAAACCTTCCTGATAAAAAGACCAGAGCTCAACAGAAAATTTGATGTTCAAGTACAAGACTCAAGAGAGACATAAAAAAGTAAACAGGACAGAAAGATACAACATGTTGTTAATAAGGGCAAATTGTTTACATCCCTACAAGGGAAGATGACTCTTCTAACTCTTGAGAACTGTATTGTTATTACACCACGTTAAAGGAGTATATATAAAGGGGGTGGATATAAGTTGACTTTGATGTAATGATCAAAAAAATTCTAATCAAGTGGGTTAAATGGATCCAGGTAAGTGGATTAATCTGATCTAAGAAAATATACTGAGAAAGGAGGAGACAGAAAAGGGTACATTACATTACAGGAAAAGACACAAAAACCTATTACAGCAGAGGGAAAGTAGGGAGGGAGATGAGCATTGTTTGAATCTTACTCTCATCAGATTTGGGAAGGGAATAACATAATCAGTTAAGTATAGAGATCTACCTTGCCCTTTAGGCAGTAAGAGGGTAAAGGGGAAAGAAAAGGGAGGGGGGATAGAAGGGAGGGAAGAAGCAGTAAGGGTAAATGGGAAGATTGTTGATAAATCAAAATAAATTAATTAAAAAAAGAAAAGGATAACTCTCTTCAAGTACCTGAAGGAGAGTTTGACAAAAGGATTAATATGATTTTTCTCGGTATCAGGAAGCATTAATGGATAAAAGTTCCAAATATGCAAATTTGGGCTTGGTATAATGGGAAAAGGAAAAAAAAACAACAAAAAACCACAAACCACTTTCAATCAGAACTATCACAATCAAAAATGCCATAGGCTGCCTTTCATGGAAATATGTGTGCTGATGGCAAGAGGCGGGGGGGAAAGGCACCTTAGAATGGGAAGATGCTTTTCTACAAGGTCATAATGTTTGGCTGCACGTATCTTTTACCATGGAAAGACCCAAGAGAAGAGATATGTTGGCAACCATTCACAGAGCCAGCATTCAAACCCACATCTTTTCTGAGTTCAGGTCCAGTATTTCCTCCCTTTCAATGCTTCTCATATTAACAAAGTGATGTCTTGATTGAAATTCTGATAGGCAATATTATTCATAAATAATGAATTAATCTCACTGTAGTATATAAACCCATTTTCCCATCTGCTTATTTCACAAGGGTGTTCTGGTTGCCTGGATTAACATAATTATCTCCTGCCCTCCTGAAATAAGATTATTACACCTAAACAAAATTGATAAAGAGAAGGAATTGAATTTTTAATAATTCCAATAATGAAAATATTATTAGTTTGAGGGCTGATGGTATTCATAAAAATCTGTATTTCTTTGGGAGTTGGCCTAAGCACTTCTTGGATGACTAGGTGGCTTTTCTCTGTTTGCTCCCAAGGATCAAACCCTAACAGTCTGCAAAGGTTCAGCATGACTTGGGGTCAGGATCACAGAGCAATTTCCCAAGGCATGAATCCCAGATTGTTTTGACAAACCCTGTGCAGTGGGGTAGTTCCCGTGCACATGACTGGGGTGTGCTGAGGCATATTCTGAATGACATTTTCCACATGGGAATCCCTCACCTGTGTGAGCCAATGAAGAGTTGAAACTCTGGGTCACTGCTTGTGAGATTTTAAGAGGCCGGAAGCATGGATTAGTGGAGTCAACAAGGGCTGGGTTCAAGTCTTACCCTCAAAGGTTTACTAGCCCAGTAATTGTGGCCAAATTATTTAACCTTTCAAGTGTCCTGGGCAACTCTGGAATATCCTAAATTTCAGATGAGGTGTCAATCTGCATACATGTAGGACTTTTTCGTTCCAAAAGTGCCCTACATCAATGAATTTTAGGTCTTAGATTTGAATAATAGAAATGAACAACAACAACAAAAAAGTTACTAAATAGAACACATTGTCTACTTACCTTTGGCTGTGGTTTCTGAATGCCACCAACCACACAAGTTAAATTCCACCAGAAACCTAAAAAAGAGTCCAACAGAAAGCTCAGCATTCCTGGGACACCCAGCCACCACCGGAGTGCAGTAGTGATATACTCCCTGATTGATTCACCCCATTGAAAACCAAAACAAGTCCCCAATTGGAGTTATTGACACAGTTCCTGGGTTGTTTGGGTTAGTTATTGGTGTATTTTCACTGGGCTTTATCTAGTGAGTGAAAGGTTGTTTTTGCCATTAACACTAGAGCAAGCTATCCCCATGTCATGGCCCCCTAATCAAGTGCCGACCCTCGGCAGGGAGATCTCCTGCTAGGCGGCTGCAGCCCTTTGACAGGCAGATAGGATTTAGAGGAATTCTTTAGTATCCTGCCCATTCTGAATCCCCAGCAGAGCACTATGAGTTTAGAGATTCCCTTAGCCTTACTACAGAAGTTAAAAAAAATGCTTTATTCTCTTTTCCTCAGTCTACAATCTTGAATAGCAAAACCTGTTTTAGCAATGTTAGTTACAGGCCTGACTTACTAATGTGAAGGTCTGTGTGCATGTAACATATGAACTTCTCCCCATGAAAACATGCCTTGGGACAGCTTTAAAACAACTAAGATTTCTCAATTATACAAAGAAAAACAGCATTTCGAAGTAATGTGAAACCATTCTCCTCCCCCCTCCTCCAAGTAATAGTCATAGCAAATGGCTTTTCAAATGAATAGGGACAGGGAAGGGTTCAGCTGATTTCTTTTTCATACTTGTCCCTGCTGCCCGCCAACAGGCCACTTTCATTCCAAGTTCTGGTATCATCTGTCATTTCCCCCACTCGCCTTCAGCCCAGTCTTCTGCTTACAACATGATTTCCCACTCCATTTCAAAAACAGTATCAAAATTTTTGTGAATGTTGGAAGACAAATCTCATTAATTTCGTAGCGTGCTAATCCTCCTTAAATCTCTAGGGTTGAAGATTGGGCGTTGAGGGGAGGAGACCCATCACACATGAAATGAAACCCAGTTGGTTCTTGTTCAAGTGACTTGCTTCCATGTCAGTCTATGGAATCTTTCCTTTTTGTGTGATACATTGCCTGTGGAGTATGTCCAATGTCTTTTTTTTTTGCAATAGCTTAGGCTTTCGTCTTCATGCCACTCTATGTTTGACTCAAGCCACTGATGAATAATTGACATTGAAAACATGACTAGTATTTGACAGGGTAAACAATTAAATCACACCTGAGACCCTCCCCTTGGTTCTGGCAGATGATTTCAAAGGCCCCGTGACTGTACATGCTAAGCAATCCAAAGTGGTGTAATGAATCACCATGACAGTTGGTCCTATGGCCCAGAGCCCACCCATGCAGCATTCAAAACAGCCAGACATTCATGGGGAATGTAACTGTAACCACAATAAATAAATTGGGTTAGCGGATGGCAAGCTGTTAGACAGCTAAACAAAGCCCGGGGAGGGCATGAGCAGTGACCAGGAGGCACTTAATACAAGTTACAATCATTCATTCAGATGGGTGAGATTGTCCAAGGCATCCAACATGGCGATTTAGGAGCACAGACCATGCCCTGGAAACCCAACAAGGGAATGCCTCTTATCCTCCAGGTCAATTTATAACAGAACAAAGGTAAAGATCACATTAAAAGCAAAACAAAATCTTAGCAAAGGTTTACTTACAAGATCAGCTCTGTCATTATCCATTTAACTGCAGCAAAGAAGGCATTATAAGGCTGTAGAGAAAACAACCAATATAGTAAGGGGAAAAAAAATAGTTCCACAAAGACAATGTTATTCCTTCAGGCTGATGGCTATCATATTAAAATAGCAGCTTTATCCAAATGATGAAAAAAAGGTACCGTGTCCCCAAGCTGGCATTGGACACCTTGGAATGGGTCCCTCATAAAATGTGATTTACAAGGAAAATAAACAGGATTCAATACAAGGGTGATCACGGATGGGGGAATAAGAGGAAGGAAGTCCAACCAATGATTCTAAAAGTTTTAACCTCTAGGGACTACTATTTGCCAGACTAATGTGGAAGGATTTGTAATTCTTATTACTGACAAAGTAGGACTCAGAGACTAGACTATTAAAATTTGCACTTCTCACTTTAAAGCTATCTAATCACTGAAATGTAGGAAAGATATACGCATTGAATTTGTCAGCAGCTAATGAGCTATGCTGGAAGGGGTTGGGTGGGTAAGGTTAGGGCTTTTTCCTCACATTTGTTAGTTTTTTGTTCACTTTGGTTTTGTTTTTTAAAGTGGGCAACATGCAAACAACAGATTTTATCCTTGAAAAAAATCCCTTCATTCTATAAAGAAGGGGGGGAGAGGGTGCGGGAGGTGGGGGGAGGAAGGAAAAGACATTCTGGTCTTTATTTCCAACTGCTTTAATTTACAAAAAGAAGTTGACTGTTTGTTTTTGTGATATTTCCTATGTAGATAATTCAATTTCCTGATTTCTGGAAAACATGGACTCTCTCTTTCTCTCTTTCACTCAGGCTTTTGTGCCTAGGCATGCCAGATATGGGAGCTGGGTGGAGGCCTCTGCAAAAATGAAGAACAACATCTGCCAGGGTTGGATTGAAAAGGCTGGGGTCTTAAACACTAGCAATGAAAGAAGTCTGACTCTTTAGGGGCTCCACTTGGGGACTGTTGAAACGGAAATATTGTTTTGGGTTCAACCGTTGTTTAGCATATGTGTTTGGGAAATTTTTAGCCTTTTATTTATGCAGATAGACCCCAGAAATTGGAGAGCTGTCTATTACTGAACAAAATCAAAATCAGTCCCAGACTTTGTCTATTCTTCAAACTTCTCCTTTTCTACTTTCTCCATCTTTCTATTGTGAGCTAGAAGGGGAAAGCTGAGAATAAACAAGAACATTGGACATAGTGTTAGCTCAACTACCAAAAACCCAAAACAAAACCAGAAAACAAGTAGATATCTCTGTGATCCCCTGAGACTTTTAACCAAATCCGTAGAGGCAGAGGTGCCTGGGCCTAAGGAATTAGGTTCAGATCAGGATTTGAACTTTTGGTGACTGGCTATTTGAAATCAAACATACCCTTCCAACCCTGTGGTTTAGCCATTCTATTTTATGACTTCAAAAATAATCAGATCTTTCAGCAAGGTCTCAGTGGTCAGACCATTGAGAAATGCCCTATCTTTGACCAGTCAGACAGTGAAAGGCCATTTTTAGTAGGTCTCATCAGCCTGGGATGAACAGTGAATAAATAATGGGGTCAGGGGGACAGAGCGGGCTCTCATGTAGCTCATGTTCAAACCAATGGGAAATTGAACCCACCAAAATCCATAAGAGCTTGTGGTTCAGTCCCTGGGCAGGGGATGGGATTATGTAAATACAGGATTAAACAATTAAAATGCATATTACCATTTAAAAGCCTTTGAGCTTTTAAGCCTTATGGTGAAAGAGCATCTTGGGAACTTTTTCTTTTTGTATTCAGCAAATAGTTGCACTGTGTGGAGAAGCTAGATTCAAAAAGACAAAAGAGAAGGAACCTTCCATTTTTTTAAGTATCAACTGTTCCTTAGAAATACTCCAATTAATTTAAAAAAATTGTTATGTATTGTTTGTGTTTGTTTCACCCTCTCTGTATGACATTTTTGGTATAAAAATAAGACTCAAGATGTCTGTTATACACAGTCTCTTGCTCTAATGAAAAAAAAAAGGAAACATGCTTGGTTTTTTAATTGCTCTATATGTACTTAATGTCTCTACTGAGATATTTTAGGCAGACTCTACTCTTGAATTGTTTTAATCTCGAGGACTTCATGCCTACCTATTTGTGTATGTATATACATGTACAGACGGCATGTTTGTGTGGTCCAAATGGTACCATTTGCACATTTCACATTCTGTATTTTAATCTAAGTGAGAGGGACAGGAGTTAATTGATGGGTGTCTCTTTGTACCTTAACTGGGGCATTAATTACCACTAGGAATGGCCAAAGGGTAGTTACTGAGCTTCTGGGCAATAGGAAGGGGTTCTTTGATACAAATGTTAATTAAATTAGAGACCAGAAGCCAGATTGCAGCCTAATGTTGGCATTTCTGTGAAAGGAAATGAAACTCCCTTTTATATTCCTCCAAATGACAGAACCCCAAAACTTGGGGATTTTTTTTTTATCTTCAAAAAGATGTTATTAGTTTCTCAAAATCTTCCTTCCTTATATCTAGTCACTTTGTTTCAGGATCAGTTAAGAAAAATGCAACATTTTCATGGGGAAAAGGCTCTTTTTACATGCAAAAATAATATGCCTACACAACATCCATAGTGTGCTTCTAATTATGATAATGGAAGCAGAGAAGAGTACAAAGAGAGAGAGAGAGAAGCTCACAAAGACAGAAACAGACATGACACGGAGACAGAGACAGAGGTGACAAAGAATTTCTGGGCTCTTTCCTACAAGGGCACTCCACTATGCGGATACTTACATCTAATAAACTGTGGGCCCGGTCACTACTTTCTTTGTTGGTTCTGCACATAGCCTGGTAGTCATAAAGTGTAATCCTGGACCAGGAGAAGAAAAGACACGCCAGTCAAACCACAGAACACAAATAAGAGCCCTCCTCTGCAGGAAAAAAAAAAAAAAACAAGCGAATGATCACAGAAGAGGGGGAGGGTAGATTCAATCCGTTCTTGACACGGAAGCATATTGGCAGCTTATCAAGCTCCCTTACGTCTTGGGGGAAAAAATAAAAAAACCAGCAACAATAAAGAAAAAACTAAGCCCCGCCTATAACGCCAGAGTTTTGCTAATTTCTAGAACTAAAGGCCAACGATGTGAAAGCACGGGAAATGGAGGCTGCCTCACACCCACTGGGCTCTCGGTCACTGAACTTTGGGCCACACTTTGGATCCATTCAGTTCAGTGGAATTTAAGTCAATTCATCCGAAGAAGAATTTGCCAAGTGCCCACTGCGAGCCAGGCACTCTCTAGGTTCTGGGGATATAATCATGACCAAGAAGCAATCGATTGCGCTCCATTGGAAAGAAACGATATGTCTACCTGTAGGGAAGTAGAGGATACATACACAGACAAACAATGTGAGGCAATTGAAATGCCCTAAAATAGGGTGAGGGGTGCAGATCAGGGATGCCTTTTTGGAGAAGACTGAGGTGAGCCGTAAAGGAGGCAAGGAGTTCGAGGAGAAGCTTATGCATTAGGATTCTCATCTCCGAGGAATATGGAAAGTAGGAAATGAGCCATGGCCTTTAAATCTAAAGCACCAAATGCCAATCTGAATGTGACCCAAAACGTGATTAATTGTGTGGTCACCAAAAAGGAATCTGCTCACAATTCTTCCCATAAAAGTAACTACATTTTCTGAGGTCATGGCACTTCATCTGGCACGCACAACATGATGGACACAGTTCCTTGACTGTGCTGTGTCCAAGGAAGACCTCCAATTGTTTTTAGGGTTTGCATCACTCCATGCGCGTGCTGTTCTAGGTATAAGATTATGCTGTCATGCCCAGAATACTTTGACTTTTACGCTGTGTATGCTGGAGAATCAATGTGTGTGTGTGTGTGTGTGTGTGTGTGTGTGTGTGTGCGTGCGTGTGTGTGTGTGTGTATGTGTGTGTGCGTGTTTTAATGCTCAAATCAATTTAATAACCATACACTAATAAATTAATAACCAAGTGTTACTGGTTAATCTTCCGAAAACAATCAATCTGTAGATCTATGTGTGTGTGTCTACATATATATAGAGGCCAAGCTGCTTGAGAGCCCATGAACAAAGATAAGCCATATTCCCCTCCATATTGGTGATAGGATGCAATAGTCAGCCAGCAATTACATTGGGCTTTAGTCTATACAGAATGTTTTTTTACCCACAGCTTGCCAAGTAGGCTTAGTAACATTCTTATGCCTGTTTGTTTGCCATTCAAATTAGTTTGATGGCATCTGGACAAAAGTTCCAGGCATGACTCAAACCTATTTCCAAATTCAGTTATCTTTCACTATTCCTCAGCTTTCTCTATTTCATAGAAATTTCAGTTCAGTTTGTGTGTGTGTGTGTGTGTGTGTGTGTGCGCATGCACGTGCATTTGTTTATGTTGCCTGAGCATTTAAGTTATTTATCTGGTTGGTTAGTGGATTAGTTTATTAGTAATTAGTTAAGCATCTTGTGTCTACCCTTTCATGTGGTTAAAAGGAAAGGTGGTTTCATAGATCACAGACTGGCAAAATTCCAGAGTTGGAAGGGAACTAACTGCATTTGGTCTCTCGCTGGGCAAATGATCTTATCTCCAATAAATGTAAGGAGTGGTCATCCAGCTTTTTAGAGAAGGAAATGGTTTGGACATGACCCACTTGTTTTGGTTCATCAAATGACAAAATCATTCATATCTGTTGAGATCATAAGTAAGGCAAGCCTCCTGTATGCCATGTTGGCAAAAATAGAGCGATACTCTCTGGTCATTTTCTTGGCATCAAAATAGTTCTCCTACTTGTTCCTTCTTCTTCCAAAACCTCCCACCTTTGGATTCAAATATCAAAAGTCCTGCCTTTCACATGCTAATCTCTAGTTAACTGTTTTAATGCCTTCATTGCTGTTTCATTCTGGCAGCCTTGTGGCGGGCAGAAAGCTCTCCAGTTCTTTGGTGATCCTGGATTTAAGGCTGAAAGGGACCTCAGAAGCCATCTAGCCTGATCCCTAAGTTAGAGATGTGAAGCTTCAGCTGAGAGAAGGATTGTAAATCACTCCAGGTCATATACCTGGTAAGCAGAAGAGGAAGGATTCAAACACAGCTTCTCTGAGCCCAAGTCCAGATAGAAATGACCCAAGGATCAGTCACTGCCTTGTTATTAATGCCTTTGTATTTAATGCCTTATAGATTATTTCCAATGGAGATGAAATGACTGACTGTTTTTGTGATGAATTTGGTGTACTGAGATTGGAGCAAACATCGTAGCCATGAGGCTAGGAAAAGCAGCAAACACCTTCTTCTGTTGCCACAGAGTTTGTGCTCTCTTCTGTCCTTGGGTCTATATTTTCGAGCTTTCCATTCTGTAGAGTTTGGAGATTATATTCAGCATGACTATATCTAATATAAAACGTAGTTCATAATTTTGTATGGATCGATGGTATGTCAGGGCAGTTGTTGGCGACGTTTTGGTCCATGTTATTTGTGGATTTCTCAAGGATATTTGGGGATTTATATTTGTAGCATCTGTTAACTTCTGATGTATAAGTTTTGCCATCTGATCATGTTATTCTAGGTATACAGATGCTAAATTTTGCACACTGCAGTTGTGCATTGCCTGCTTTTCACCATTTCATTGCATAGCGTACTGATACGGTCACTTTGGGCTCCTTAAGGAGAACGGTTTTGTAATGTCTAGTGGTAATGATGTGATCCTAAATCTCTAGCATATCATTGCATTTCTCCAAAGTAGCTGACGTCTTAAAGCTAGTCCTTAGACACTTCCTTGTGGCTGCGTTGCTGGTAGAGTTTATATGGATGTTGCTGCTGAAGGGTCCTTTGAGTCCAAAATTGGATTCTATGTTTCATAGACTCTATCCAGACATAAGCTACTTTGGGGTGTGTTTGACAATCTCAGTGGTGAGCACCCAGGTCAACTTTTACCATTAATTTGTAAAGCAAGGTCTATTTATTCAAGTAGGTTTTTTTGGTTTGTTTTGTTTTCGTTTTTCTGTAAACACTTATCCCATTAATTGAGAGCTCTTTTACCATCTATCAATCTTATTCTTTTTTTTTACAAATGTCAACCATTTGATATCTGCTTTGACATGATGAGCCCATGTTTAATTAATATAATATGGGGTTTTTATTCCAGCTGTACTGTTGTTCATTTTGTCATTGTTATCATTATTTTGTTCTCATATTATTCCATACGGTTCCGATCAAATCAGTGACAGGACAGGTCACTAGCCTGTGAATATACCTTTCAATTTGACATTCTATAGACCGTTGTACAGATCAATGCAATAATTTCTTTTTCTTATTGAACAGAAGCTCATCCATTATATGCTCACTGAAAGCAGCCTCAGAGCCCCTTCAGCAGCGAACTGCATCATGGGGATGATATGCACTTCCCATGCGATTTTGATGGTAATGACAACAACAACGATGATGAGGGCGATGATGACAATGGAGGACTCTGTGGGGAACATTAACCATAATCCATGTCAGGGGACTCTCTCATCCTTTAACACGTGGATGGATCTGTAAGTTAATAGATGTGGGCCCTCCTGCCAATGACAAAGTTAATAACTCATCCCTCATCTAGGATCTTGCCCGTTTCCTCCACTCAATCATTCATGGTGGTGGCTTGGAGGGGGGAGTCCACTCTGAATGTAGAGGATCTTTCTCTGCCTCTCTTGATATTGCTCGGATATCTCACTTAAGGCCTATGACTTGCTCCTTTTCCCATCCTCCACCTCTCTGACAATACAAGAAGAGGGAATCTTCCAAATTGAAGAAATCAGCTAATGAAAAAAATGAAATTGTATACACCCAACGGTTCTACTACATCATCCAGTGAGCTCGCTGCAGGAAGGCCAGAGCACTTGAATGGTGAGAAGGCCTCAATGCTTCCTTCAACCCTTTTCCAAGCCCTTTCCTACACGTTTGAGCCAAACTCCAGGCTTCTGGAGAGGTCGTCTGGAACAGAGTTTCTGTCCTTCCCATTGATAGGACACTTGTCTAAGATCACTGCCATTTTAGGAGGTTACAAAGTAAGCTGCCTTCCCATTTCCTTCTCCACACTTAAACAGATTTAACTATGTGTTGCAAAAAAAAAAAAAAAGCAAGACTGACCGATTATTACCTTTTTTGAAGTGATTCTGTTACTCTTTGCAATGACTACATTTTGTGGCTACCTGTATCCTGTTTGCTGATTCTAGTTAAAGGATATGATGATTGCTGCTTTTCTTCTGATCTAAATTTAAGCCCTGCAAATGGAGCCCAGCCCCAGGCTGCTGGCGCATAGGCCACTTCTTGCCTGCCTGCGGGACCAGCCATTTATTCTCATTGCAGATAACACACCCAGAGCCCCATGACATCATCACCAAGTTCCTTCAGCCCCTACCCACAGCCCTCCACCTTATCATTAGCATCATTGTGCTCGGAGAGCCAGTGGCTTTGAAACTTGGATGGAAGACAGATGGAGTTCTGCAGAAGAAGCTGGGACTCATGCAGAACAATATGAGACAGCTCAGAGGGCCCTGGTGCCACTGAAAGACTTAGATGGAAAAACCACTGGGTGATCAATTTTTTGAAAAGTGAAAATTTTCATTTTACTCCTTTTTTCCCATAACAATAAGTATAATAATTGGGAAAATCCCAGAATGACATAATTTTAGAACTGGAAAGGACCTATGAGATCATCTACTCCAATGTTTCCTTTAGCAGGAAAGGAAGAAACAGATCGGCTGATTTAGCCTTGACCTTATGCTTTTTTTGCTTTTTTTTCTGCTTCTTGGTGAGGCAATAGGAGTTAAGTGACTTGCCCAGGGTCACACAGTCACTAAGTGTCAAGT